GTAAAAAAAAAAAGAATGGGGAACTACTATGCAAAACGCTCTGTATATATTAATCAGAATGTAGTCAATACCCTTTTAATAAGTCTGGTGATGAGGACGATTGAAAACAGAATGAGTAGTGATACCCGTGTAAACAGAATGGCTGAAGTTTGTAAACTAGAAGACATTTTGGGTATCGTTCGTTCTGGCAGTACTATTCCGGGTCATTGGGAAACGATTGTAAACAAAACATTTAAAATGGTCCTGGAATCTTCATTTTCTGAAACATTCTGTAACATTACCGAAGAAATGAAACAAACACCAAAAGTGTATCATGTGCTCTCATTGTATGCTCTGTTTGTAGATGGAATGCATCTTTGTGCCAAAAACAGAATACACATGAATACTTTGACTGAAGTGAAGAAACTCCATTATGATATTTCATCATATTTCAATCTGGGGAATTATAAGCTGGAGACGGTCCTGGGGATGTTACAATCAGTATAACTATTGATTTTGTGTGTGAAAAAATAAAAATGTAAATAGGAAATAAAAAAAGAAATAAAAAAAGTGTTTTTTACATTTAAAAACTGCTGTCTTCATTATAGCAAGGGGAGCGTGTCTGATACATGTGTATTACAGTCCTTCACATGCACTGTTGTCTTCATTATAACAAGGGGAGGGTAACAGGGAAGATGTCTGATAAATGTGTATTGAAACGTGCATATTATATCCCCCCGTATCCTGGTAGTTTAGGAGGAGTAGAGCGACTACGTAGAGAGGTGTATAATGAAGAGGGTAAACAAATTACTGTGTCTGCAGTTAAAGATTTCTTATCTGAACAAGACACTTAAACTTTACATAAACCTGTCAGGATTAATTTAGTCAGAAACAGAGTGTTTGTACTTTGCCCCTGTAACAATTTCAGGCAGATCTCTGTGACATGCAAGCCTTATCCAAACATAATGATGGGTTCAACTATTTACTAACAGTCATAGATGTTTTTTTTCCAAAAAAGCCTATGTGAGAGCTCTGAAGCAAAAAACGGGTAAAGAAGTGGCTGTAGCATTTGATACATTTCTAAAAGATAGATTATTTTCCAGCATCCGTTTGTAACTTTTTAGGAATCTGACTCTCTTTTAGAATTGTATCAAATGCTATAGCCACTTTTAGCTAAAAATTGTTCATATTGTCAGTTAGCGAAGTTTCTTACCGTTAAAAGGGTATGGAACATTAATAGTTTCATAAATGTTAAGAAGCCCTGAGACATAGTCTCGAAAAAAAACGGTGGGGGGGGGTCCACTGGGGGGACCGTCGTGCTTAAGAGGTTAAATCAAAAGCTGCCATTAAGAGTCACATTCTTAAATAACATCTATTTAGACAAAGTATTTGATTTTTCTAGTTTTAACTTTTTGCATACCTCAAAGTGTATCTAAAAGTATCTTGGCAAGAAAAAAAAGCCAAAATCTGCCTAGTGTCAGTAAATAAGTGTTAAAATCACAAACTTGCCTTTTAGAGTCACAGTCTTTAAGAAAATAAAAATGTGTTACAAAGTGATTGACATTCTATCAGTTGTAAAGTTTTCAGACAACAAACTGTATCTAAAATATCTTGGTAGCAGAAAAAAGCAAAAATCAGTAAAGTCATCAAAAACGACATTGTTTAACTGGATTGTCTTACTTAAATCAAAAACTGCCATTAAGAGTCACATTCTTAAATAACATCTAGACAAAGTATTTCATTTTTTCTAGTTTTAACTTTTTGCATACATCAAAGTCAGTGGCGGCCGGCCCATAGGGGCGCTAGGGGCGCCGCCCCCCCTCTTCCCACATTAAAAAAAAAATATATATATATATATATATATATATATATATTTAAAAAATATATTTTTTATTTTTATTTTATTTTTAATAAACAAGGTAAATATTATATAATTGGTATCAGTAAAATGTATATTCTACCATAAAATCTCGTTTAAAATTGTGTTACGATGTCTAAAGTTACTGATAAGTCACATGTTTCCTGCCTGGCCTTGCCCGTGTATCATTACTCCCTCTCGTCTGGGCGCTATGCACAGCGCCCAGACGAGAGTGCAGCAAGTGCAGCAGAAGCCAACTGTTGCTATCTTTAAACTATGCCGCCGAAACATAATTTCAGCCAATCAGCGTCGTCAAATCTGATGGTCACAGGGCTCCTACGTGAGCGCCCGGTGCAGTCTGTGAGTTGTTTGGACTCGTATCCAAGGAGACAAAACAGGAAGCTGTCATACACTCTGGAAGCTACCATTAGCAGCTAATGAAAACTCCGTTTTTGACATAAAAATGGAATTATGGATCATCAATCATTTGTGACAGACACATTGGATTAACCTTCAGCTGCGTTTTTCTTGTTTTTGATCAGAATTGTTATTCTGCAAAAGGTGAGCATATCTCCGTGTTTTGCTACCTAAAGCTACGTCGTGTGATGTCTGTATTTGCTTCCCCTGTCGCGAGTTCTGATCGCTCAGTGATGATACTTATATTTCTAGAATCTGTGGAATCTCAGCTTGTTAGCACAGTTTATGCTGTAGAAACTATGTCCAGGACAAGGTGTTTGGAAGTTTTGGAAGATTCATAGCTAACCACACTGAAGTTATGGAGGTATTGATCAGTCTTCTCATATTTTTAAACCTCAAATTGTCCTTCCCCCCCCCCTCTAACATCACCAGAAGTCATAATTTAGGGGGTCTTTTCTCAAAAAAATGTACCGGGGGAGCATCCCCCCGGACCCTCCTAGTATTGTTTGATCACCATTTCCACAGCCCCACCTAAAATATTTTCCACCAGCCGCCACTGATCTTACAGTTCCTTTGTGAGAGAATTACGCACAAATATGTCATATCAAAACCTTCTATTGCAGTATTTTATCTGTTTAATGTGCTCTATATATACATATGTATCAGTGACGTGCGGTGAGGTTCATGGCTGGTGAGGCACTGACTCACTGAGTCAGATTTACAAATATTATATTTTGACCTTTATCGAAATATTCGGTTATTTTCAAAAGCTTTTTTAGTCTGATGCTTCGATTCATTTTAAACAGACCGTTCAACAAAAGGATACCCAAAATCTAAATATTGGATTGTTCTTTCTTAGTAAGATCCCATTTTCATTACAAATGTGGTCTTACCTTGACTTGAAGATGAAGTCCATGCTATCCTTCTGGACAACAATCTCTATTACTTTTTTGTAAAAGTCCTCCTTATCTTCCTGTAGTTTCAAAAGTCTAATTTGTTGTTTGCGTCTACCGTCTCTGCGTAGAATTACAGTAGCAACAAGAACCTGTGGGCTCACGTGCGCCCCCTTCAGTGCGGCAGAGGTTATGGCTGCCTCCCCTGGTGCTTTTTTCATTGCCGTTGTACGATGAGACCAGCGAGCCTAAATATCATATATACGTGATATAAGTTATTTAGAGACTATGGATGGCGAGGATAAATGTAATAAAGGGATCTACAAACATTACATTGGTGACCTACAGTGAGATGGTAACAGGCATGCGCTTAGGGCCCGCTTTCCAGCCAGTTTCTGTGGGATGACGTATTCTGAGGTGAGGCAGAACTCATCTGTGCCTCACCTCACCCCACAGTAACTGGCTTGAGCGCGCTCACAAAATAAGTGCCCGCGCTAAATTAGTGCCCGTGCTCCAGCAAGTTACTGTGGGCTTACGAGAGGCAGAGCTCGTCCCTGCCTCACTTCTCATCGCTCCCGTACCGGAGCTCGGCACATTTGCTGATTTTGACTATAAAAAGCGATTGGAATCATACATAAATCACACTTACAACACAGATCAGTGGAGACATTTTATTATTATTACTATTTAGTTTTTCTTTAGTTGTTTTTCCGTTACATTGCAGTATGACAGGTGAGGCTCTGCCTCCCCTGACTGCACGTCGCTGATATGTATATATATGTTGCACTGTTGGAGGAGCCTGTGACCTATGTTTTTCATTGACATATCTACACTGTGGCAATGTGACAATGGGCATATGACATAAAGCCTTGAAACTTGAAACTTAAAATGATCAAAACTGCATTGTCCCACTGAAACAGCACCCTGATAACAATAAACAGGTCAATGGCTCAAAAAAACCTCAGAACCAATCGGTTTAATCCTTATAATTTAACAAATTAGCATTACATAGTTTTTCTTGCAGATACACATTCAAAATATGTAGATACACATTACAAAACATGTAGATAAACATTAAAAAGAAGAAAAACCTATTTTTTTAGATTTAACATTTGTCAAAAAGGGTTTTAAATAGTTAGAAAATAAAGAAAAAATGGCGCATAACCTGATACAGCAAAAGTCTTAGACCCCCGCTCATCATATACACCCAAACATATATATATATATATATTATTTTAACCTTATAACATGTATATTGTTAGCTAAAAATATATCTCTGTGGTGTGTGTGTGTGTGTGTGTGTGTGTGTGTGTGTGTGTGTGTGTGTGTGTGTGTGTGTGTGTGTGTGTGGTGTGTGTGTGTGTGTGTGTGTGTGTGTGTGTGGTTTGGGTGTGGTTAACGAGTCGTTAGGGTGCTTCTTTTGTTTCCTCCAGAGTGAAACTCTACCCCATCATTTTCTGTGTAGGTATGATATCACCCTTGCATTGATCTTCAGTATATGAAACCTTGTATGTTTGGAAATGAATAATTTCATTTCCCCCACACTCTTAATTCTATGCATTTTAAGTGTTTACAGCCTTTTCTGCTCTGATCACCCCCCTGGATCCGCCCCTGGAATGAATACAACAACAGAAAAATATTTTAACACCTCAAACAAAGGGGGTCATTAGCATAAGTAGGGAAAGGTGTGACCTGTCACAGCACCTGTCACTTTTTATGAACACTAATGTGATTGAAACAGCCTCATTACTACTACTAAGGTCTAATTGAAATCAAAATGTGAGCATGGTTGGACATGATATTACCAAATCATCGAAGTTAACTGTTGTCAATTATTTTCTGTTCCTTCAAAGCGATGACCTCTAAAGGCAGCGGGACGATAGAGGTGGCGGCGCTCGGACGGCCTTTCAGCCTCGGGATGTTGTACGACTGCCGCAACGACTCACTCGTCCCTGGTGAGGAAAAAACATCACCTTTAAAAACAGACATTTTCTTTTTGCCAGGAACGAAACACACAGATGAAAAGTTATAAATAAGTTATTTAAGATTTGTTGTTTGTTTATAGCATGGATTCGATGTTTGTGATGTTGGAAGAAGCAGGTTTGGACTAGCTTGTTTATGTGAGGCTCAATAATAATAATAATAATAATAATAATAATAAATGGAATTTATAAAGCGCCTTTCAAGGAACCCAAGGTCGCTGTACATGGTGGACAGACAAAACAAAACAGACAAAGAGGAGCAAACAAAACAAAAATAAAAGTAAAGCGTATAAAGAAAATGTTTTGGGCCAAGGATTGATCCCTGTGGAACTCCACAGAGTAGAGGGGCAGATCAGAGGCCTGTACTACGAAGCTGGATTTTCGCTTAGCCGGCTAACTTCAGGGAAATCTCGGGCTTTCCGGTCCTACGACGCTGGTTCTCTTTTTAGCAGGCTAGATTTCCATGGTAACTTATGCTGAGCGGCAAACCTGCTCCGGAGCAGGTTAGGTGGCAGGCTAAGAGATCAACTCAGTGAAAGCACCGCCTGCTGACCAATCAGAGCTCCGTGTGCGGAGTTTAAAGCGATCAATTCATATTACAGGATAGAGGAAATACAGAAAAACTGCCGTTGCAGGAAAGACGGCCGGCCAAAATCAACTGACTGTGAACGTGAAAATTAATAGAATATCCCCTCCCATCTTCAGAGCAATCTGACTATTATAACATTAGCGTTAAGAAAGCTTACTTAAATATCTGCCACGACATAAGTAACCGGATCAGAGTAACATTAAGTACAGTCCGCGGCACTGTGAGTGCAGACGTCGATGTGTCCCATTATCATTCATATCATATCACATCATAATGTATCATATATTTCCTTATCTGAGTCAGCTGAGCCGTATCTGGCCGTGCAACACTCACAGTGTCACATACTGTATGCAGAAGTATTATTTTAAGCAACACATTAAGTTGACGAAACACTCGAGTCAAATTCTCCTAATTAAAGTCAGATCGTGTCTTAGACGGGGTAGTGATATCATAAACCTGTTGATGTACGCATTCAAACACTTTTTCTTTTACCAGCTGTATTCACCTTGCAGGTGCAGCTATGTGGCTTTTATCCTGGATAAAGTGTTTAAGTCATGGATGTTTAAAGTTTAACTTCTTCATATTTGACTAATATTAAAGTTCACTTTTCATTCAGGAAGTATGACGCTGCGCTGTCAGTACGCTTGTCCGTGTTTGAGATTGGTCGAATGCTCCAAATACCACCCCTTTCATGTGAACGCGCACCTAACTAGATAGGACACGGCTGGCTTGAGCGATCCACTTGATAACCAGCGTCATAGGACAGTTTAGCCAGAGCGCGTATGTTTTGGATTGGGCCAACCGGCTAACTCAAACATATCCAGGTTAGGTTGAACCAGCTTCGTAGTACAGGCCTCTGGTCATTCTTTTGGAACAATTCCAAATCCTTCTAAACTTTGAAATAGGTTGCCCATATCAACTCAAACACCACGAGTCATGCTTGATTGGGATCTGAGGAATGCTTGACATTAAAGTAGAGATTATTTTTATATAAAATCAGTGTTGTGTGGGGAAACAATGGAAGGTAGCTTTTATTCCAGGAGATAGATAGATATCTTAACAAACAAAGGAGGCCATTGACAAAAGATTGATCAAAAACATAGAAGAACTTGGCACCAAATCTCTTCAAATATTAATCTGAAAATCCATTAGGGCATGCACTAAAGGACAGCATTCAGATATGACATTTTGATATAAATAATGTCCGCTTAGGTGCCCTGTTGGATGGCCTCCAGGTCTTGTTTGATTTCAGCATGGAGACCAGCACTCTAGCAGACGCCAGTTGTGACGTGAAGTGCCCATCTTGGCTTTAACTACCTGCAGGAAAGCCTTCTCATCAGGGTTATTTTGGCCGGTGATGGATGCTGGAGAAAGTAGTGCTGTCATTATCCTTTGTTTGAGAGCAGCGCTAGCCAAACTTTACACAGTGACTGGTTGGTTGAATACTTTTAGTTTAACATGCCATGGCAATCACAAAATGTTCTACAATGTGTAGGCTACTGATTGTTGTTACCTGTCACTGTAACCGCTGAACTGGAAGTTATTTGACTTTTATTGTTTGTTGGCTTTGATTCCCCTTAAAGTTATAGTGTGTATTAACATGTACTCTGGTTCTAGCTTGATTTGTGGTTCTTCTTTTGCAGGAATCACTTTGTGGGACTGTGATGACCTTAAAAATCATATTAGAGAAATACAACAAAAATATAATAATTTTGATATAGTTGCATCTGAATCAATTGAGGACAAATCTTCAGCCCTAAAGGTTGAAGCATCACTGAAGGCAAGTTTCTTGTGTGGTCTGGTAGAGGTTGAAGGATCAGCCAAATACCTGAACGATACTAAGACTTCCAAAAATCAGGCCAGAGTAACACTGAAGTACCAAGCTACCACGAAGTTCCAAGAACTGTCCATGAATCATCTTGGAGGAGAAAATGTTAAGAAACATCAGTTTGTGTTTGATCAAGGAATAGCAACACATGTAGTCACAGGTATCCTTTATGGCGCACAAGCCTTCTTTGTCTTTGACCGTGAGGTGTCTGTCAACGAGAACCATCAAGACATTCAGGGCAACTTGAAGGTGATGATCAATAAAATTGGCTCCCTTTCAATAGATGGTGAAGGCTCGCTGAAAATTGAAGACAATGAAAGAAAAAACGTTGAGAAATTCTCCTGCAGATTCATTGGCGACTTTTTCGTTCAAAAACCTCCGACATCCTTTCAGGAGGCAGTAGAGGTGTACCAAAGTCTGCCAAAGCTGCTGGAGGGCGGGGAAAACGCAGTACCAGTGAAGGTCTGGCTGTTGCCACTGACATGTTTAGATTCTACTGCCGCTCAACTTGTCCGTCAGATAAGTATAGGATTAGTTCAAAAATCTCAGAGTGTCCTGGAGGACTTCAGTGACCTGGAAATGAGGTTCAACGATGCACTGAGAACCCAAACTGCACAGCAGTTCCCACAGATTGGAAAACAACTCAAAACCTTTAAACAGATGTGCTCTGAGTTCAAACTGGAATTCCAACAAACCCTGGCAAAGAAACTGCCATCAATCCGAGGAGGAGGAGAAGAAGAAGCTGTGCTCGCAGAGATCCTGAGGAAGACATGTTCTTCTCCTTTCAACAGCAAAGAACTGAACGAGTGGATGGACTGTAAGGAGAGAGAAATATACACTGTGATGTCTCTGACCGACATGATGACAAACACCAAGATCATTTCATCTCAAACAGACCTGTACAAAGAAAGCTTCAAAGCAGAGCAGGCTGTGTGTTTTGTCTTCACCTCGCTGGGAAGTGATGAACCGTACCTCTCAACTTTATCAAACTACCTTCAACAAACACCCAAACCAGACGACGCTCAAGATCCACATACTCCAGATCAATGGTACAACTCAAGAAAAGAAATGGAAGCAATGCGGCATAAAGCAAAGCTCTTCAGTGATTTAGCAGAGGCCGACAAGGAGAACAAGAACATCACATTTCTGACGGTGGGTTTAACAAACGAGACACAGACAGGTGCCAGCATCTACCTTTATACAGACGGCTTTCTTGTCAACGAGAACTTTGAGCCGCCTTCAAAGCCTGCAACAGTAACAGGAAGTGATATAAACCACAACAGTGTGACGCTGAACATTTCTCCACCCAGATTTGGATCAGAGGACATCACCTCCTACTCTGTTGAGTACTGTGTCAGTGGAGAGGACGACTGGAACCAGAAGACAGCATCTAAACCTGAAGAAGTCACAGTGAGCGGCCTGAGTCCTAACACAGAGTACATGTTCAGATGCAGGGCAGCGACACCAGTAGGTGCCGGGCCAGCCAATGAAGTCAGAGGATCCATTAAAACCTTACCCTGCAGCCCTCCTGGAAAACCCAACGTTGACTCTACCTCACGTGAGATATCAGTCAGCTGGGAGAAACCTGCTGAGCTCGGACAAGATGTCCAGGTTTTGAGCTACATCGTAGAGTACGCCAAACCAGACCAACAGGTGAAAGAGGAAGATCTCCACTGGGAGCAAATGAAGGCGGGAGCTGAGAAGGCGATCATTTCAGGACTTCAGCCAGAGACAGAATACGCTGTCAGGGTCAGGTGTGATTGTGGAGCAGCTGGAAGAAGCAAAGAAAGCATTGCTGTTAATGTCGGCACAACAAAACCTTCACATCTCACAGAATTCCTGAAAGGTAAAAGCAAAAGGATCAATTCTGAATCTCCCTCAGTTTACAAACGGCTTCTGACAGAAGTAGGCGTGTGTGTGTGCGTGTGTGTGTGTGTGTGTGTGTGTGTGTGTGCGTGTGTGCGTGTGTGTGTGTGTGTGTGTGTGTGTGTGTGTGTGTGCGTGTGTGCGTGTGTGTGTGTGTGTGTGTGTGTGTGTCTTCTGCAGCTGCACTGCCCCATGTGTCCAAACCCATTACTGCAGCCTCTCAATGCTCACACTACATGTGCTTTATAGCTATGAGATGTAACATCACGGTTTTAAAATGTCTAAAAACGGTTGTTAAATCAGAAAAACACATGGACCACCACAAAAAATGCAAAACAAAGCAAAAAAAGATAAAAAAAACACATGACAAAGTTGCAAATCGAAGTAAACATCCCCCGTGTGTCCAAACCAAGCCCCCAGGAAGTGCGCCGGACTCAGATGAAAATATTCGTGCTGGCCAAACGGCGGTACTACACTTCCTTTTGGTTGCCAGGCCCGGAAACACTTTTTCCCATTGACTTACATGGGGAAAGAGTGGTCTGTAAATCATTGGATAATTTTTTTTAAACTAAATAAACTACCCAGTATGAACACTTGTATAGCCCTTATTAAAAACATTCGTTCCTCAAGTTGTAAAAATGTGCTAATAACGTTATTCTGTGAGTTATTTCCCTCTGCATTATGAACGTGCATCTAACCCACGCGCCGCCCGGCACGTTCATGTTACGTGTTCAACACTACATGCGTTTATCTTTACCCATGGATGCACAATAAGAACGGACCCATATCGCCTTACTGCCAGCCCACGGAGCTGTAATAATGGATATATTGCACAAGTTTGCTGTAATTCATTTTGTAAAATATTATACTACATGGGCTGTATGATTAAATCTTGTACCGTAAATGTTGTATTAAATAAAGTTAATATTACCGACGGAGATTAACGTCCCTGTAGCTTCTTATTGCACTAAGAAGCTTATTGCACTGTATATATATATATACATATATATACATATATATACATATGTATATATATATATACATATATATATATATACATATGTATACATATATATACATATATATATATATATATACAGTGCAATAATTCTTTCATGCTAAATGAAGCTCTGCTGCTTGGATATCACTAGATCCTGTTACAGCGTAATATAAAAGTACATAACGATTGATGTGTAAATTAGCATAATTACTAGCTAACCGCTAGCTGCTAACTGCCGCCTCGTTAATATCAAATCTATCATAATAACAATCCATTACCATGCTGTCATGAACGTGCGGTGCTGTTACGTGTACGCAAATTGACGTGCTTGATGTGAACGAGCATTTTGGGGGGCATGGTTAAAGTTGCGCATGCGCTATGAGCGCACATACGGGTACTTCTCAGGCATGCCGGGTAATCTGTGACGTTTCGCTCTCTCAAAAGTTGGGCCATTTTATCATCATGCGCGAATGAGCAACTCTCATAGGAATGAATGAGGCCCCGCCTCCCACGCTGTATCCAGTTCTTATTTACATCCATGCGTTATACACCATAACGGTGCACAGCTGATATAAAAGGACTTGTCGTTTTTAAAGATATTACTGATTTTCTTTGAATATAAGAATGTAAATACTGAGTTGAGAGAATAGTCAGGGGATTTGGGTGATGGGAGACACATCGATGGATTCAGAATTTCAATAGCTTACTGTTAAATGACGGATATACCTTTCTGTCTGTGATGTTTTACAAATCAGATATTATAAGTAAAACATGTGAAATAATATAGCAATATCCTGTACAATTATGTGAAAACATGAATAAAACTACACATCTTCAGATGTTATACATACAAGTGTCCTACACTAATAATACAAAGTTATTATGGCTGTGTGTACCTTGTGTGCACCGCCTAGTGGTTAAAGCACGTTATTGAATTAGTTGTGTATGATATGTCAATGATCCTTAGAAAATCTTGAAATCTTGAAAGGGATATGCAAAATAGCCATATATACAGTCTTTAATTAACTATTAGTAGAGAATAACGAGTAA